AATTATTTGCAGTTCTTTGCGGATGCTGGATTCCCGTGTCCCCAAAGAAGGAACCCGTCGGATCATTTCCTTCGTTGTGTTAATTCGGACTTTGATGACGTCACTAAAACTTTGATTGGCTCGCAAAGAATACTGAGAGTGAGTAATTAGTTTGTATGCACTTAGTACTCTGTTTGTTTTGCAGTGGTGACAGTCTGTAATTGGTGATCTTTTTTACTTGTTGCAGGATATACATGAGGCTCTGATGGGTTCACAAAGGATGAAAGTGAGTATTGTATTCGAACTTTTCGTCGGTATGAAATAAAGATTTATATATATCAGGACGACACTAACCGAGAATCTCCTTTTGTATAATTCTTCCTTGTTGCAGGAAATAGATTTTAACACAGGCCCACTAATGGATTTGGCAACAGGGGAAATCAGAGCAAAGCTTATTCGGAATTATCAAACCTCGAAGTTCGCGTCAAGAGCAAAAGCTAGAATCAAAGAGATTTCAGTCACCGTGAGCAATTTAATACTTAAATTCATACAGGAGTGATTCTTTGGTTTTGTGTATTGGTGAAAAAAAAAATCTTGTTAAATCTCTGCTTTTGCTTGTGACTCCTCTTCGTTCAGCCAGAAAGCTTTAGATTTTCCACTACCCATTTTTAAAGTACCTTTCAACTGCTTCGCAACTGACCAAACTCTCCCTCGATCACTGTTCAACTTCTATTCATAAACTCTACCAACTTCTTATTCTCAATGACTTTCAATTCTCCGAAAAGTAGAATTGTTTGCAAACACTCCCTGATCACATGTAAGTAAATCCTGTCAAACTTCCATCTCACAAGAGAAATATTACCACAGGGGGGCGGATTCGTCTTTGAGGAAATTAACGGGAGCCAGGCCACATGGTCGATGCAACTCTCGACTCTCACGAGACGGTCGTTCAAAAACATGACTAGGGACTTTGGATACTACTGGCTGAGAATCATAGTCTTCATCTTGGTCTCCTTATGTGTGAGTGCAGTCTTCCACGACGTGGGCACTAATTCCCACGCGATTCTAGCCAGGGGAGCCTGCGGTGGCTTCATATCCGGCTTCATGACATTCATGACCATCGGTGGTTTTCCATCATTTATTGAGGAAATGAAGGTAAACTTAAAAGGTCAAAAATCATCCTTTTTTTTTTTTTTAAATTCATTTTTTGTTATGTTTTCTAGGTGTTTCACAAGGAAAGGCTCAACGGACACTATGGCGTCAGTGTGTATGTCGTTTCCAATTTCGTCTCTTCGTTTCCTTACGTGGTGGCAATATCATTGAGTTCGTCGTCCATCATTTATTTCACGGTGGGATTTCACCCGGGTTTTTTCCACTACACGTACGCAGTGCTCGACCTCTTGCTGTCCATAGCAGTGGTCGAGAGCTGCATGATGGTTGTGGCTGCAGTTGTCCCCAATTTCATGATGGGAGTTGTGGTCGGCGCCGGTCTCATCGTAACTTCTCTCTCTCAATCTCTCAATGTATTAGAAACTGAAAAACAAATTCGAATTTATTACAACTCATGTACTTGATGTAGGGCATTATGATGGCCACGGCCGGTTTTTTCCGGCTCCTACCCGACCTCCCCAAGATATTCTGGAAATATCCTGTTTCGTACGTCAACTACATGTCATGGGCATTGCAGGTAACTTCAATCGTATTAATTATTAGGAGTAAAATGCAATTTTAGTCCTGTATGTGTCACTACCTTAACTTTTTCGTCTTCTTCGAATTGCGTTTTTGATTTCGTCCCGTATGTTTGCAAAAAGGTTACAAAAAAGTCATTTTCGCAACAAAAAAGACCGTCTTTTATGTTTTGCAAAAAAATGTTTCAATTTCGTCCCTTATGTATGAAAAGAACTTTTTTGTAGCCTTTTTGCAAACATACGGGACGAAAATAAAAAACGCAATTCGAAGAGGACGAAAAAGTTAAGGTAGTGAAACATACAAGACTAAAATTGTAATTTACTCTAATTATTAGCAACGGTCCAAACAAGAAAGTGCAATACAAAATTTGTGATTGGTGATCAATGCACAGGGGGCATACAAAAACGACATGCTTGGGATTGAGTTCGAGTCCCCATTGGTCGGTCAGCCAAGACTCAAAGGAGAACAAGTGTTGACCTCAATTATGGGCATGTCCTTAAACCACTCCAAGTGGTGGGACCTGGCAGCAGTTGCGGCCATCCTAGTGGCCTACAAGCTGTTATTCTTTGGCATTATCAAGTTGAAGGAGAGGGCTTTGCCTCTTCTCAAATCTCACTACACAAACGCAACTCTAAGGCGAATGAAGAAGAGGCCATCCTTCCGGAAGGTTTCGCCGCCTTTTCCTTCAAAGAGGCATTATTGCGTCATGCACCCGACTTTGTCCTCTCAAGAGGGTCTCGACTCGCCGTTACACTGATGAAATTATATATCATAATATCGACATAACTACACTACAACTACAAGACATATATTGTGGATTTTTTTTTCCAAAGTGGGGGAGGGCTTATTTTTGTGCCTATATAATGCCTCTATTGGCATATTTATGTTTGACGAGTTTGAGTACTGGAAATTTGCAGATTAAACCGATTGTCTTTTACCCGACTTCTCGTTTTCCATAGCTCAACCAGGCATTTTTAGCTTCTATAAACAAACCACAATATTTTTATTCATCGGCCTCAACTTGGAAATATTTATTTTCACCTAGTGAGGCGAAGGAATTAATTTTTTTTATTCATGTTATGTGTGGTTATGAGTCAAGTCTCACACACGAGTTGTGTGGTCGTGGCTAAAAGTAAGTCTGGAAAAATGCATTTATTTTTTTAGTTTACTTTTTTTTTTTTTTTNTTCCTATGTAATAATGCAAAATGTGATGAATTTAAATTGCAAGCCGACACGCTCTGGATATTGACTTGTAAAAAATTTATGTCAAACCTGCATATTTGTTTGTTTTGCATATTTTATTCTTTATTTCGCTTTCCATAATTTTGGTCCCAAATACAAAAAATATTTGAACGCCAATATTTTCTTTTTCTCCAAGAAATATTTCTCAACATTCCAAGGACTCCAACTTGCGTGGGATTTGGGGCATCGAAGTGTGGTTGCTGATGTAGATAGCCAAAGTGTCGTAACCATGGTGAAGGGATCCTCGACAGAGAATTGGGGGATGCACGGTGCTATCATACGGGGCAACAAATATATATGCTATTAGAAATTAAAAACTTCACTCATAACGTTATTGAAATTTAGATTATATTCGAGAGCAATGTTGATGATAAATTCTAATTCTAATTCTACGGATGATATTGAGATCTTCCAATGTGAGATTGTCATTCATGTGCAACTAACTAAGGCAATTTCCAATCATAGTCTACTTTGCAATAAGTACTAGTAAATATCTTGTGCACATGCACAGATGTACAAAAAATATTATAAGTAATATTTGAGAATTTAATATTAAAATTTTAGATAATGAACATATTATATTTTTAAAATTTAATCATTAGAAAAAATAAATTAATGATTATTTATTATTAAGAACAATTATTTATTATCATTAAATAATAGTAGTTTGATTATTATTATTATTGTTATTATTATTATTATTATTATTATTACAAAAACAATTATTTATAAGATTCTAAAGTTGTTTGACTATGCTATTAAAACAATTTACTAATTTATTTTAAAGAAATTTTTTCATGAGATATAAAAAAAAAAGATAATACTGATATTAAAATAAATAACTTGAAACAATTGTTTATAATTATGAAATATATTTATTTTGTTTGATTATTAAAAAATAATAATCCAATATTTTAAATAAACAATATAATAATATAATATAAATCTCAAATAATAATAATTTACGTGTATTACATGTGCACTATACTAATATTAATAAAAATATGATAGTTAATAGAGGAAATAGTGATATCTGCCTAAGCCTAACAATTTGGTATTTGGAAATTGGAAGTAAACAAAGAGCAGCGACTATGAGTAATGGGCAGGTCAAAATCTTCGAGTCCACCCTTCCTCCACTTTCATCATCTTCTCGCTGGTTTCAGATTTTCAGTTTCACCGTCAATGCGCATAACGTTTTCGACCCGAAAAGAATAAAAGAAAAATCATACAAAGAAAGTGTTTTTCTGACTTTTTTCTTCCAAACCTTCACGATTTCACACGTGTCTGTTTCTTGTGTCCCACATGCCACAGTCACTTTTTTCTTTTTCTCTCTATCTAAACTTGGAAGTTGGAACTACCTCGCGGTTTCCATCTATCTCTCTTCAGTCTTCAACCAATCGTCATAAAAATTGAATCTTTAATCTCATAGCTACAAACAGATATAGATATAGTTTATATATATATGAGCTTCAGCTTCGTCGTTTTTTGGTGACTACTCTTGACCAGACATTTTGCTTCTCTCTCTCTCACGCATAAATTGGGGGTCTGTGGGTGCTGCCGTATATGCAGAAGATAGCGGGCCCCATGTCCCCGAGCAACTCCTCCTCTGCCAATGTACGTGTTATGCAAATTCTTGGTTTCCTTGCTAGTTTTTCAATTTTTCTTTTGAATTTTTTGATGTGTAGTTCTCTGTGGAACTTCGTCTTGATTTATTGAGACGTGTTCTTGTAAATTGACTGTTGATTTAGTTCGCCTTGATCATTCGAAGCTAGATTCGGTTGCTTTTCCTGTGGATGCTGTTTTTGCTTTGTTGTTGTTGTTTCGATCGGTGACTTTTGATAGGTGGTGGCTTTAATATCTATTCTGCAAACCTGAAACTAGTTGAAGGCATACATATTTCTTTAGCTATTGTTGAATTGGATTTTCAAGTAGAAATGGTGTTGATTAGTCAAATTAATTATTGATATACTGTGAGAACAATAATGGGGGTTGTGACTTGTGTATGGCTGCTGTATATGGTTATCTGCTATTGTAATCACTATCCTGAAAATCGAGCTGTATGTAATTTGTGATGCACCAGAACTCCAGAAGTGCACACTGTCCGTTCCTATTCTGTTTCTCTACACATTAAAATCGAAGCACAAGTGCATTCTTTTGTGCCGAGATTCCTCAAAAATCATATTAAGTGACTAAAGAGGGAAAGACAAAGACTGATATGCAATTTCTCGTTAGGTCAATGGTAGTGTGTCACCATCAGAAAATGGATTCATTGAGTCTTTTTCTCTGTTGAGTGTGGAAGAATCAATCAAGGATATTATTCAGCAGGCTCCTGTCCAGGGTATTGATGATCATCTGATCGAGTTCTCTGAGGCTTTGAGAAGTGAGTCGCATTAACTATTATGATTCGTCATGTTTCAATACTCAGCGTCTATATAACATGTTGCTGAAAAAGTTTGGTTAAATTCCGCTTTAGCTGTAGGAAAAGCACTAAGAAGTGTTACTGAAGGTAAGGCGTCTGCTCAGGCGGAGGCTGCTGAATGGAAGCGTAAGTATGAGCTGGAGAGGGCGCGCAATCTGCAGTTGGTGTCAAAAGGTTGTTTTTTTCACTCTGTTGTGTTTTGATGCTGCTGTGTTTGAATCTCATTATTAAACACTCAGTTTCCTAGTCAAACAAAAGTACGTTATGGAGCCGATTATTTGAATATCCTTTTATTAAAGCATTCTGTCTTTGGCAGAGGACTTCCTGAAATATCCTTTTTACTTCTGATCTGAACAAGTCGTTTTATAATCTTCAAATGAATTAATTTATATCAGTTGCTGTTCTGAGGCTTTTCTTATAAAATCCATCTTAACATCCAATGATGAAGTTTTTAGACAGAAAAAAAGGGCTTTTTTTTTTTATTTATTTTTTTCTCATTTGCTTTGCTTTTCTGAAATGTCAGCACATTTTCTTTGTCACCCTTTGTTCAGTAGGCAATAAAGTTTTCATCTGGCATCCATATTTACTGTTATTTGTTGATTTATTTTCTTCCCTCGTTCTGGTTGATGTTGTCTTTAGGAGGGAATTGCAGTAACTTCCATTTAGAGAGAGGTCGAAATGTGGAAGATCAAACTGTTTTATCAGATAAAAATAGTGATCAATGTGAGTTGTGTTGTGGGAAAGATGATATATCCGCTCAGGAGGTCCTTCGAGATGGTGAGTCTGAGCCTGGCTCCTCGGGCACCCCAAATAAGATGATGAAAAAGGTGTGTCCTTGTATACTAAAGGCTTATCAGATATTATATTAATGTTTGCTGATATATTTTTCTTTTTCTCAAAAGAAGCAAAATGTTGTGTTATTTTCGGTACAGATTATGTAGGTTGGGAATAAACAACCATGGCATTCAAATTCTTCAGAAATGAGGATGAAGCAATAATGCAATATAACCATAGACCGGAAACTAGATGGGCTTGGTACCTTAACCCATGAGGAATGAGGAGGGATGCACAATAAAACACTCGATATAACAAATGATTTTTAGAATACTCGAGAAATATTATTTGTGTTTTCTTTAAAAATCAAGAATTTCTTGCTAAAATACTATGTCTTATGTAGCTCCCATTGTTTGGTTAGTCAGGCTATGTAGAAAAAGCTTAGCTTTATCATTCTTGACTATAATAGTTGATTTATTTTACTTAGTTATTGCTTTTTTCTTAATAAAAAAATGAACATATTTTTCAGTACCTATTTGTCATTACATGATGATTTTCATATATTTGCTATATATACCATAGCTGACTACCTGATGAATACAGAATAACAATGGTATGTTGGTTTGTGGAGATAGGCATCATTCAAGCTGTCCTGGTACTGCAAGGGTGAAAAATGTAATCGCCACAAACATGACATTGTGTCGTTTGAGAAGGGTAATATAACTACTGCCGAGCGAAGTAGTAAACAGGTACAAAATAATCTCTCACCTAGTTGATTAGCTCTTGCACTTTCGTATTCATCCTATTTCTTGAAACAGCTGATTTTAAACCATATGTTAGTTCTTGATACTCAAATTTTAGTTGTACTGCATAAAGAAACCTATTTCTTTCATATATATATATATATATATTTTCAGATATCATTGAAATGGGAATCTCCACCACAAACTGTGCTTATATTGACCAAACCAAATTCTACCTCTGTCAGGATTCTATGTTTAGAAATGGTCAGGTAGGATGCGCAATGATATGAGGATTAATTTCTTACTGCTTTTGAGGTATAATGTGCTGTTTTTGCAATAACATATTTTAAAAATGTGGGTTCTTCTATGTCCTTTAAAGATGGTTGAAAGAACAGAAGAAATTAAATATATTTGTCGAGCCACGTGTGAAGTCTGAGCTTCTGACGGAATCTACATACTACAACTTTGTACAAACATGGTTAGATGGTACGGTCAGTCTTCCTTATATTATAAATTGAAATCGGATGCTGTTTGATTGATTGTCGATTTACCACCTTATTTTCCGGTTCTACTTTCCATGGACGTTACTCAAAATGTTTGGACATTTCTTGTCCCCAAATACCTGCTATGTCTTGTATCAGTGTAAAGCATGAGGTGCTATTAATTGGATCATTGTTCCTTTATATTATGGGAACCAAATTTACCTTTTGAACCATAGTTTGATGTCCTCTGTTTTTAAATGATATATGCATACTTCAGAGCATAAAGCTAGCTCATTTACATAACATTTTGTCTCTATTTGGGTACATTAACTATCTTGACTGCTGACTGTGCTTATTGTTTACACAGACAAGGATGTGCTCCTCCTGCATACAAAGGTTGACCTCATTGTAACTCTCGGTGGAGATGGTACTGTACTTTGGGTATGTGTCCTTTTTTGGTTCTTTTCGTAAGAATTAGCATGCTTCTTTTTTATTTTTTATTTTAAATTTTCAATCAGGAATTTCTGAAAATAAGCACGAAACAACTCCCACAGATATTGCCTGTCTTGATTGTTGGTGCTTAGCAGGCTTTATTCTATGCAGACGAGGAAGCTGATACGTGTAGTAGCTATTTTCATCTTCCATATAGCAACCCTTTATTTCCAGTAATCGTGAAGATAACTCCTCATGACCTTGACCCTATCAGTTGCAATGGAATTAGTTTGCTTTCTAATTGACTTCCCTAAAGAATGCCGTCATCCATGCGTTGCACAACAGAGTTTCTTGATTTCTTCTTATAACTGTTGTGGCTTTTGTGCTGTGCTAATGTAGATGACGATCTTTTTCATTTTAGCTTTTTTTTTTTTTTTTAAAACCGCTTTTTTTTTTTTTTTAAAACCCTCATCGATGCATCTACAAAATCCTTCAAATTGTATCTGATTAAATTGCATTGTCTTCGTATTCCTCACTAGCCTGTAATGTAATATGAGCTCCTTGTGGTGCTTTTGCTTAAATATTGTAACATTGGAAATTAATCTGCTTTGTATTTGGTAATGACTCTGCTCGAGGTTTGCCAATATTATTTGTATATCTGCTCAAACTTGGATTGAGTGCATAGCAACAGTCTATTTCATATTCACTTCACTCGATCATACTTCATCGGACTCTTTAACAGCCACGTGTCCGTTTTATCCCTATTTCATGCTAGAAACTGTCTAGATGGAACATTCGACATTCAATTTCATGAATAGTCGGCCCCCGTAACTTTCGTCATAGCTAATAGATACATCACAATTTTGATCAAACAACAATTTTCATTTTAATTATTTATTTATTTGTTGCAGGCTGCATCTATGTTCAAAGGCCCAGTACCTCCCATTGTGGCATTCTCTCTAGGCTCCCTTGGTTTCATGACCCCATTTTGTATCCTTAATTCACCATCTTTTACTCTATAATTTACTCTCGATCATCATCTCCGCCATTTTATTATTCATTTTCTTGAGCAATATTATATTTCTTTAACGGGCTGAAATCCCAGACAGCGAGCACTACCGCGAGTATCTGAACTCGATCCTCCGTGGGCCCATCGGCATCACACTGAGGCACCGTCTGCAGTGCCATGTGGTCCGAGACGAGGCCAAAAGTGAATACGAGAACGAAGACACAATGCTCGTCTTGAATGAGGTCACAATCGACCGCGGGATGTCATCATTCCTCACGAACCTCGAGTGCTACTGTGACGAGTCTTTTGTGACGTGTGTTCAAGGGGATGGCCTCATCCTCTCCACTACGTCCGGGAGCACAGCTTATTCACTTGCCGCTGGTGGATCTATGGTCCATCCTCAGGTATGTTTTTTCAGACACATTTGTTGTCTTTAGCTGTATATGATGATAAATGAAGGGCCCTTCTAATAAATGTCATCTATAAGAAAGGGAACAGTCTTTTTAGCTACTAGTTTTGTTAGATGTATTTATGGATGTACTATTTAGATATATAAATTAGTGATCATTCTTAGGCTTTTTTGATAAATTTCGTGTAACGTAGATAGTAGTAGAAGTAAGTAATTTGTAGACTTCATTAAGGCGCCAAGAAAATGTATGGGGAGAATAGATATAAACGGAAGAGCCGTTTATTGTTAGGTTTATGAGATCAGATCCTTATAATTTCCAATGGTCCAGAAAAAGCAATAAAGTAAATTATTAAATAAATATTGAAAAAAAAAATAATTAGTTAAGGGCCCAACCGGGATCGAACCGGTGACCTCTTGATCTGCAGTCAAATGCTCTACCGCTGAGCTATGGACCCCTTTATTGGTGGTATATATGCTCATGGAACTTTACTCTACAATTACAAAATTCCGATAATTAGATTACATAAGCTATCTGAGTTTTAATGGAATGGCAAAACAATGAATCCCTGAGTCATTTTGCTGGCAATGATTGTAATCTGTGGTGCAAAATAAGAAACTAGAATTATATATCATCGGAAGGACCTTTTTTAGAAATGAGTACCAATGTAAAGAGAATCTCTTCGCATCAAATTCCTAGTCACTAGATTTTCAATTGAGCTGAACCTTCCGAGACAGGATTAAATGAGTACCAATGCATTCTTGATTCTGTATGAGTTCAGATTCTTGGCTCAAATAATGGCCTTTTTCCTTCCAAGATTTGCTCGTTAAAACCCATACTCAAACAAGTTTCCCATATATGCACAAAGCTGATTCAAGACTGAATCACTGAACCGAGTTGATGTCACTAATTTTGATTTTGCGAAATTCCATTTCCATTTCTCCAACGTCGAAGAATAGAACTTTTTGCTATGGTCAATCAATTAACTGTAAACCGCTCTTTGAGGAATAAATATTATATATATATATACATACGTAGATAGCTAATAGCAACGCTGTTTTAACTTTTAACCACCACCTTATATCTATGACAATAGGTCCCGGGAATCCTTTTCACGCCAATCTGCCCCCACTCTCTGTCCTTTCGGCCACTGATACTCCCAGAGCACGTGACTCTCCGTGTGGTGGTGCCTTTCAACAGCAGGAGCCACGCCTGGGTGTCGTTTGATGGCAAAGGCCGGACACAGCTGGCGCCTGGGGATGCGCTTGTCTGCAGTATGGCCCCATGGCCCGTCCCCACAGCCTGCCAGGTGGACTCCACCTGCGATTTCCTACGCAGCATACACGATGGACTCCACTGGAACTTGAGGAAGACTCAGTCCTCAGACGGCCCTCGTGATCCTTAACTGGATTTATAATTTATAGTAACTATTATTAATTAAACAAAATGGAATATTCCAGTTTACTTGTGACTTGAGCTTTCATAAAAAAAAAAATATATGTGAAGAATGAAATATAGTGTTTCTGTCTGTCTTGGTTCTCAGGGCCTGAATTTTTCTATCATGGGTGAGGAGAAATTGCTGGAGAAATGTGTAATTTAGTGATGTTCTAGATTTTCATTACTGATGGTATTACTGGTGTTCAACTTGGTTGTTGAGTCAAATGACCAAGTCCAAGTGATTAAACATCAGGGTGGCGGAGGTTATTAAGTCAAATTCTTCACTGATTTTCGAGAAATTGTGTAAATGTACAAAAATTATAACGTAAAAAATAGTAAGGGCTTTCAAGAAAGTGTATACATGTACAAAAAATTGAAGATATTAAAGTCAATTGCCCAAGTG